CCCAGATGCACACGGGTGTACAAGGAGGCAAACCACTGGTGTTTGTATCTGGCTGGGTTCCTGGCCCTATAACCCTGGCAGCCATGGAGACCTCTCCAAGTTTCGGGTTTCTCTCCTCTAGATGAGAATGCTCTGTGTGGTTTCTAAGGTCCTTCCTATTCTAGATTCTTCTCTCATTTCTAGACTCCATCACAGCTTCATATAAGCAGAATTTTTTTTTTTCAGAATTTGCTGGTCTTACCTGTTGGATTCATGAGATCATTGTAATATATGTCGGATTTTAAGTCTTATGATTTTTTTTCCCACTGAGACAAAGATGAAAAAATGTTGAGTAGACACTTGCCTTAAAACTCCTCCCCCAAGTTTTTTTCTTTGCTTTGATTTTTTTGCTTCACGAAGCTCATTTTTTGAAGGAGCATATATTCTGAGCTATAGTAAAATGAGTAAGTCATGGTTCTAGATTCTGATAAAGGTACTTGTTATTTAAGAAGAAATGTGCAGAATTTGAAGTAAAATCGTACTATATTAGAAATTGTAATATGCCTAAAATTAATTTAACTAATTTCATCATGTAAAAGAAAATTTCAGAGGAGTATTCCTTTTTCAAACAAAACTTAATCGGATTCAATAAGCAGAAAAATGGGCAGAAAATGGTGTCAGTACATGAGAAACTAGATGTGTTGTCCTACGGCCGGGTGTAGGAATCAGGCAGGCTTTGTCTTTAGACTCTACTATCTAGAAACATTTTAGGAGAAGCTAGGTTGAACTGTGTACATATTTGAATTTAGACTTTAAAAAACTCTCAGCTGGAGTTTCACCAGAAAAGGAGGAAAATAAAAAGGTTCCTCACGTATACCGATACCACAGCAAGTGTTTCCCCACCCATTTTACTTGATAGCTTCTAATGACTGAAGAGATTTTATTATCAAGTAGTTGTTTGTCAGCAAGTGTGCCTCAAAATAATTAAAAAAATCTTTGTAGGAAAGCAGATTCTCCTTTTTTAGGTCCAGATGTTTTCTCAGGATGACATGGAGTCTGGCTAAATCCTCTATGTAGAGGTAAATCACGTTTTGTGCATGTTAATATCTCATCATCTTCGTTGTCTATGTAAAAATAAATGAAAGTTACAGATAATTTTTGATAAAATGAATTATGCAACATCATTTATATTTGGCTTCGGGCATAAGGGAATATGGAGAACTCGGGCAAGGGTTGTGCACGCGTGTGCACACACGCACACCCACAGAAACTCAAGCACTCTTCTCTGCCTCATTCTTATTCCTTTCTGAGATCAACCTATAATATCAATAACCCTCTATTGAAATAATATAAGATATCCCACCCCCAAAAAGTCTGCCAGGGGAAACTTCTAATCAAGTGCTCCTGAAATGTTTACAAATCCCTTAAATCCAGCAATGATGGCATAATAAAGGGTATGTTGGGAAGAAAGTGTCCATCCAAAGTAGAAAAACTACTGGTTAAAAATCACGATACATCAAACATGTATTTTCAAGGATAATTTCCATTTAACTCGTAGGTTTTTCCATAAAAATTGTAAAATATTTAAAGAGAGAAAACAGAACATTCAAATAATCTTTGTTTTAGTTTTTCCGTCTTTACAATCAAGGAGTTGGACTAGATGCTAAGTTTTTTTCAGCTCTAATATTCTATGATTTTTGTCAACACAAGATGTTAAAACGTGTTCCCCTCTTTCATTCAAATGGTTAGAACAAGTGGCATAAGATTGTGATGCCTGACAATATTACCCTTTTAATTTACAGATAACAAAGGCAAGTTCCAGAGAAGTAACATGACTACCCAATGGTGCCCATCCACTGGGGTATGAATCAATGTCACTGCTTCCAAATCTCCCTAATCATCAAATATTTTGCTTTGTTTCATTAAGGACTCAAGATTCCCTCCCCACCCTTGGAAATTCTGCTTTAGTAATTATGGGGTGAGGTCAGGATCTAATTTAAAAAACAATCTTCAATATTCTGACTTGTAATTCAAGTTAGGAACCACAGATCCACATCAGACTACCTGGAATGCAGTGAAGGAGAGGAGCAGCTGTGTCACACAGCCCTTGGGCAGGCTCTCCAGTGTTACACAGCAGAATCTTCCTACCAGGTCCATCATTTTATGCCATAGGCTACCACCTCCCCAGTGTTTTCTCCCTTCTAGATGAAAAGCATATTATATGAGTGACATCATTTGACGTCCAGGTTACTTTTCTCTGATAGTCTTCCTATGGAAAAGGATATTCCTGAAAGAAACAAGAATTAAAAGACTGGATCTATAGCCTTTACTTATCATCTGCTCCAACCTCACATTCTAGAAGTTTAATTCTGCTCAACTCCTGGAAGCTCTCCTATTGGTAAGTATGAATCTGTCCATCACCATGCAACAGTCTTGAGCCTTTAAGGCAGTCTGGGATTTGAAAATTAATTACTTTACCTCAAGTCATGGTATAATGAAGTGAATCTCTCTAAATTGTTAGAATGTATCACAAGGAGAAGGTTCTTTGAATACTTTTGCCATAAGAATTCCTTAACCTTTTTGCTAGTAAAAGAAAAGCTTAAATAGAATTACTGTCTAATAATGTAGCTGGTTTTACATAGAGACAATGGAGAGCAAAGTTGCTTCTAAGATCTTTCATGTAGAATTCCAAGCACCTCAACATTCATATTTCTGTCAGTTCTCAATATAGATATAATATGCTCACTGTTCATGGACTGTGGCCCCAAAAAAGTTTCTGCCCCTTATGCTGCCCCATGGATGCCAAAGGTTAGTTTAAGGCTTTTTTAATGTAGTACACTATAAGAAATATAATTCAGCTCTCAATGAAATATCATTCCTGATTTTCTTTGTTAATAAAAAATTGAATTAGTCTCTTATCTACTAATTTTAGGGGAAAGGTTAGAAAAAGGAAAAAGTGAATAACTTACCTCTCAATATGTAGGACTCCAAATAAAGTAGCTGAACAAAAATTTACTATAATTTTACCAAAGAGTAGAATTCAGCATAATTGAATTTCTTTTTATATCCTATTTAAGGTATTTTGTTACTGAAGTTGCCAAAATGAATTCATGGTTTAGTCACGTCGTTTATAAAGCAGTCTTAGGATGCTGGCTCTGAGGATCAAGTATACAGGGAAAGCCGCAATAGACTGCTGAATGATATATCAAAGCTTTTGTGAACATTTTATGTTTGCTTTAGAAGGCTAATCTGTTTAAACCTGTGACACTTTTATTTATTTAAAAGAGTAAACAAGGAGATCAATGGTATTAGTCTATCTTTATACGGGTTAAGGAACTATGAGTCGTCTGTAGAAATCTACTAACGTTAGATATATGTATAATTAGTTTTGTATGTAGTTGAGACCAAGGAAGTGGTTAGTTAATATAGGTACCTCAAGAGCCTTAAGTGGATACCTATTAAAAGGTATAAAAAATATAAATAATACTGTATATTTTTAAAAATTTTAAATAAACACAAAGAATATATAGGTATACATGTTATAATTTCAAAGTCAACACTAGCACATAAGTTTTTCTTATCTAAATACATACTGATACTTCCTATATCAACACATGCACCTACAAAACACACGGCCATGCAAATAACCTTGCTTTCTGCCACTTGCAAGAAAGTTGGAATATACAATATAGTACATTGTTTCAACTTAAATCATATTGGCAAATTAATGAGGATGGCATTAAAAAATTCTGATCTAAAAAATCAAAATACAGGAGGATAATTGTTCCATAGATTAAAAACACTGAAGACTGATGGGAAGTTAAGATTTCAATTGTCCCAGTAATCTTGAAAAATACAGAAGAGAGAGAATTGGTTGTAAACACTCAGAATACTCTGTTTGGCAACTGGGACTTTTGTAATCCAGCAATCCAGGCCAGAGACTCAGACCATCGATGCTTCTGATCGCAGAGAAATGGGAAAGTTGTGGACAGTTCTCCGCAAGGCAGGGGGTGCCGATGGAGATCTGGATGCCCACCTGGATGGGAGACGGCGATTTGCTGGTCTAGCAGGTCGGGAAAATCCTTTTCCATGTGAGCATTTCACTGCCACGGACTCCTTAAGACACAAACGAAGACATTCATCTCACTATTCAGGCACCAACGATGAGCTTAATATATTATGGGTCCCAACTACAGGATTAATGTATTGTATTACCGTGTTTACAAGCAAGAAAAAGCATTGAAAATTAAAGAAGCTATTCCTGGTCTTGAATGTTTTAATCAAAACAATTCACTTTTACTATAAATATGGCATTTGATAATCTTGTAGATCTCCACACTGACAAGTTTTAATACAACTGATTTCTTTTTAGAACTAACTATGAGTTAATGTTATGTTAGAACTCAAAAGTTCATGTTAGATAAAATTGATATGATAGAACTAAAGTTTTTCTTAGTGGAGTGTTAGGATATTTTACTGGGTTTTTTTTAAAGATAATAATTTAAAGAAGAATTAATTTATGTCCAGTTATTTTATGTCAAGTTGATACTTTTAGAGATCATAAGCAAAAGACACACAAACCACCAAATGTGTTGTCTGATGCTATCTTTTTTTTCCACTAAGAACCACTGTTACTATCTCTAAACACTTTCAAAATTATCATCAAAATACTTTAAAATATAACTTCATTCTATTTGCTAAGAAAGAGTTGCGATCTATCTTGGGTATCTTCCGAAGACTGAAAACTTTTCCCTTCTCTTCCCTTCGCTTTCTTTCATTTCTTCCTACTTCTCTTTCTTTTTATTTTAATGGAAGAAAAGCATTCTAGGACTCTTGCCATTAAGAAACAGTTAAAAAGCTTTCATGACACATTTTGTACTTTGATTCTTATTGACCTTCTTAACAAAGCCTGTGCTCTTTCACCTGAGACGGGCAGTAAGTACAACCTTTATTTCTATGAAAGTAACCTGTATTTGCTTTTTCTCTCCTTGGAGTCTTATTTTTGTAAACCTGTTCCTGGGGGGGAGGGATGGAGAACTACTCTTAACGATCGACAGCAGAGGACCCTTCCCAAACCTCCTATCAGTACAAAAATAGGAGATATTTAGTAATATTTGTTCATGAGAATTTTGGCGGATGATTGTATATGTGCTTTCATTTCCCATCTGAAGCCACAGGACCTTACAGGTATTTATGGGCTCAACTAAAAAAAACAGAAATAGAAAAGCAGGATTAATTATTTGTACTTTGGGCAAACAGGCAAAATTTCTGATAAACTATATGTAAACTGATACTTTTGTAGGGCTTGAAAGCCTCATAAAAATAATTTCTTACACAAGAAGGAGGCAATCTGCCTCGTTTAAAACAATGGTGCATATACATCGCACTATGTAAAACCAGGATTTTCAAAGCATTGGCTAATTATAACAGTATGTCACCTTGTAACTTTTTATAAATTATGCATAAAATGTGCTGATGGATAGCTCTTCATTGTAAACACAAATCTCTTCAACCTCTTTTTCTCCTCTAAAATTATACTCTTTTGCAAGCAAACTGGAATAAAGGATAACAGTTTATTTAAATACCCATTTTTGGGGGGGGCAGGCAATTTCCACACAAAGAATTTATACAAATAATAATGACCTTAATTTTTTTTACGCTATACTATTATTTTTCTTTTCATATACTGCCTTTTAGCTCCACAATAAGAGAACTGCATAAGGCACTATTTTAAATGATTTTTTTTCACAAACTCATATTCATGTGACTAATCCCCTGAGGAAGAACATGAATCAAATTCTGGGAATGACTGAACCAACCATAGCTAATAACCGAAAAGTACAAGTTATTTATAAATACCTCCCACGTACTTTTAAAAATATAAACACTTTAACAGGATAAGATTCTATAAATGAACAGATGAACATTCAGAATGTTTTTTCAAGAAAGAAGCACAGCAAACATTTGATCTTTTTGAGGTTCTTAAGAATTTAATTTATTAGATTGTGTTGTGCCATTTCAGAATTTAAATAAAAGTTATAATGTGCTAAACCCAGACTTAAAAACTATGCTTTTAAAAGTTCATGTTGAGTTACAACTCTAAGGTTTATATTTATTCACAAATGAAGGGTCAAGGAACTAAGAAGATGTCAAAACACGTGCCTACGTTCTATTTACATGAATGGGCAACTGACTGAACTCTGAGCTATTGCTAAATATGGATGCAGTTCTACCAAAATATGTTAAATTTCTTTCTCACCTCAGTTACCTTTTTCCGATCTGCTCCTTGCCTCACTTGCTGTGCTCCACACATAGCTGGCTTTTGCTGAAGCTCTTGTTCTATTTGGAGCTTTTTAAAATGCTGACTTAATGTGGCTCCACCACTGACCTCAGAATTACATTTGGTCCAATTAGCCTGGAAGCATTTAGAATTTTGCAATGCGGACCCCGCTGATGTCTCATAGGTTTTCAGCAGCTTTTCCACCACACCATAATTTGACCTGGGATCAGCTGACCTTGGTCGGCCAGACAAGTTACTTGGTCTCCAGTCATGCTCGTGGAGCATATTCCGGTAACTGCTAGGGCTTATGTGTTCCTGCATTTGTCTGAATAGGCCTGTTGTGGGTTTTTTGGTGGAATTATCATGCACATTTTCCCTGGGCACAGGCATGGGGGCACTGGTTTTCAGAATGTCAGAAACACTGTCACTTTCTGAGATGTTATCCGTGCAAGAAATTGAAGTATCACAGGGCTGAAGATCTTCAGATGGTTCTGAGTAGCTTTGACTTTGCTGTACTGCATGACAATTTCTATTTGTTCTAAATACGATTCTGTTAAATTCATCAGTCTTTGCTGCCAGCTTTTCATTCCTAGTAGTCCTTTCAAAGCCACAACTGAAACTTCTCAGCGGGCTGCTGCTCTGTGTCACCAAGGAGCTACAGACATTGCTTATGTGAAGATCAGGATGACATTTAGCAGGGTGATCTGGAATCACCTTTTCATATTTTGGCTTATTGGGAATAGAGCAGGCTTTCTGGAACCATGGTGTAGAGGGGCTATTTTTTGCACCAATCCCAGTGTCGCATGACCACACGGTAAGTCCAACATTTTCATTACATGAAGGCTTTTTATCTATTTTGGTTTCTGGTGCCAAAGAAGAAACTGTGATACCATCTTTCAAAGTCTTCCTTTCATTTAGACACAGCGTAAGCATCTCGTCGTGCCTCCACAGGAAATGAGGGTTGCAGTTCTTTTTGCCTTGACCTTCTTGGGCCACCCAGCCATTGTGGTCTGAACTTTCCTTCAAACTTTCATGGGCTTGTGCAGAACATGAGCTGGGAAAATTTCGAGATGTACTTCTTGGAGGAGGAACTGGTGGGGTTTCATTTCTTTGCAGATCAGTTTTATCAATTCCACCTTTTTTCTTAGAATTGTTTTGGAAAACATCAGTACAGCTCAGATTCTTTCTATTTTTCTTTTTCTCTTTTTCTAAACTGGTTGGAGTAATGCACTGGTTGTTGTTGATTGTGTGATCTCCATAAGGCATATTAGTTACAACTGGTGTTTCCTGGAGAAAAGAATCTGACTTCATCCTAGACAATTATAAAACAGGGTATATTAGTGATGACTTTATTTATGCTAAGCTTTTTTTTTTTTTTTTTTTTTTGCAGTACGCGGGCCTCTCACTGTTGTGGCCTCTCCCTTTGTGGAGCACAGGCTCCGGACACGCAGGCTCAGCGGCCATGGCTCACGGGCCCAGCCGCTCCGCGGCATGTGGGATCTTCCCGGACCGGGGCACGAACCCGCGTCCCCTGCATCGGCAGGCGGACTCTCAACCACTGCGCCACCAGGGAAGCCCTACGATAAACTCTTAAAAGACACTGGAGCTAAAGCAATGGATTCTGTTATAGGAAAAGGAGTCACAACTTCCTTAAACATTATTTTTATATAAATCCCATAGTACAAAACTTCAAGTCCCTACTGCAGCATAAAGCCCACCTCTCAGTGTTGTATTCAACACTATATACATAGTCTGACCCAAGCTACCTTTTTAACTGTATCTCTCATTTTTTTCTATTACCTAAACTTCACCTACACTCAGACTCGACTGTGTGTAGTCTCATGGGTGTCTGCTATTGGCGTTCCCACTTCTATAGGTTTTCTCTTGCCATTTCCTTATATCCACTTTGCCTACTGAATTCCTATTTATAACATCTGAGCTCAAACTCCTCCCCTTGAATTTGAAATAACATTCTAAGTAGTGTGACAGAAATCTGAATCAAAGCGCAAACAAACATGAGCAATACCAAATGGAAGGTGTTATTTGGGCATAAAAGAAAAGTGATCATCTTTTTTTAAATTTTATGAGTAAAGGACATATAAGCAAAAGAGAGCTGCAGTACAAATAGTGTGGCTATTCAAGGAACAGTGAGTACTCTGGTGTGGATGGAATATAAAAAAGTGGGAAAGATGACGGCAAATAAAAGAGAAATATTAGGTCAAACTGTAATGACTTTGAATTACATACTAAGGATTTTGAGCTTTTCTCGAAAGGCAATAAGTGGCAGTGAGAACTTTATACCAGGTGTGGTTTGTAAAAACAAATTGGCAAGTAAGAATTATTGAAACAAAAACCTAAATATTGCAAGAATGTGGGTTCACAAATTAACATTAATTAATCATATTGATACATATAAATCACATTTATATCTCTTCAACTTATATTACGAGATAGCTTACAATAAAGTGCAGACAAATACCCATTAGCAGAGAGTAGTAGGCAAAAGCTCAGTGGAAAAGTGGAAGGCAAAATTATGTAAAAATCATGGTTGGGTAAGAAAATCTGTTGTAAGTCAGTACAAAAATTCTCTCTGAGCTTCCAAAAAGCTAAAGAAAAATAAGGGTCCACATTCCTATAGCTTCTAAGAGAAGTATACTGCCCCACTAGGAGATCAATGGTGATCTTAGAACAATCCATCTTTACTTAACTTGTAGAGAATTCCAATTTATTTTTCAACTTGGCTAAAACCTACCCTTACAGTTATAAGGGTGCTTCTGAACTGAAAGAGCATGTTTTACAGCACTGTATAAATATGTATGTGTGTACATATTTATAATATGTTATTCTGAAAATTATGAATGCTTCCATTATATATATAATAAATGTAGAAAAATAAATGGCTCAAAATGTTTCAGTAGAACATCATTATATAATTAAAACACCATTGTTAAATTTGACATAGTTTAAAGATGTATTTAACTAGATTAACCCAGTATACTCTTCCACTGGCCAAATACTCAAAATAAAAAAGAACTCCATTGGAGTATACTTGTTAAGTTATTACGGTTAGTATTTCACTAAACACCAAAAAAGTAAAGTACGCCTAAGAGTCAAACTACAAAGAGAACTAGAAGATTTGCTTTAAGAATTAGTGAACAGAGAAACATACAATTTAAGTTTTTATCTCCTAAGATAACGTATTTTAACAGCATTATTAATTCTCACTAACAAAGTGTTAGATGCTAAAGGAAGTTTGGATTCATTAACTAAAAACAACATTCTTTTTGATTTTCCAACATAAAAATCATCATAGATGTACCAGCCTACCTTCTGTGGTTAGAACGCTTTCGAATTTCCTCTTGAAAGTTGCATAATTCTTCACTAACTTTGGCAAGTTCTTCAAGAGCCTTTATACATATAAGCAATAGCATGTTAGCCCTTTGAAATGTAAATATGTCTTTAGAAACAGTTCTAGGCCAATCCTGGCTTACTTACTGTGTTGAGGGCACCAGAGCACCTCTTGTTCTCTTCCTCAGAAGTCCTCAGGTCAGGCGGGGTCTCACATTCCTTTTGGTTGTCTGCGGCCACAGAATCCATTAACCCTACTTTTGATTTTTTGATTGTTTTTTGTTCCTTACACATTTGATTCCTTTCACTGAGTAAGCGCTGCTGTGTTTTACCTTTCTTCCCCAGACCATCCCTGTGATTCATCCCTGTAAATTCACATTGTCTTGAATTGGGATAATTTGGAGAAGATTCCATCATTTTGTCTTGAATGGCCTTTTCACGATCAAGATCAATAATCGCACGTTCACTCATGTTGATTTTCCTCCGAAGCTTTACTTCATGGCAGAGCTGTAAAGAAAGCAAAGATAAAAATTTCCCCCTAATCCACTCTCTCAATATTTTTGATACTAAGCATATTGTTCTGAGTTCTCTTTGCCATATTACTATATACTACCCCATGGTATTAATGCTTATGCTTCCAAATAACATTTCTAAAGTCTGGATTAGCTGGAACAACTTTGAGGAACCATAAAGACTACTTTCAGTAGGTCAAAGCATGGATGGTAATTTCTATTCTTCTGAGTAGAAATCAACCCATTCAAAAATGAAACAAACCTGTGTTTATATATAGATATCATGATGATACAGAAGCACTGTTAACAAAATTGGAATGACTCGAATCAATTACTGGCAATGCTCTCTAACTGCTTTCAGAGAGAAGCAAGAGTTTAACTAACATTAAGGTCATATTTTAAAAATATATGATCCTATATGCCAACATTTAACTATCTAAATAGGTGACAATCTCATATAGTAACTCAGCTAATTCTGTCCCTAAGTAGACATTTTGCAATCAAAATATGTTACTTTTGGAAGTTACATTGTTGAGGGACAGGTAATTCTGAGACTTTTTTTTTTTTTCCGAAGGCTACATACATTCAAAAAATGTTTCCTGTCGTAATTAAAACAAATGTGACCCTGTCCTAGGTAATACAATAGAACTCTAAGGCGTTGATCATCTATTAGTCTATGCTAAAGTGGGCCCCAAATTAGTTCTTGAGAGTTCAGTTTAACATGCAGGCTATTACTGGCTTTCTCTTCAGGCTTGTGTTCTGGGAAAGCTTGTCAAATTCCAAAGACATTCAGAGAACTATTAAAGCAAATGACTCTACGTTTTACAATCACAACGTATATCTGCACTACATCTAATATTCAAAGAATAACAGAGAACTTCTGCTCCCAGATCCTTGTCCTGGCCGTGAGCCCCAGCCGAGCCCTACCCACCCCCCGCCTCTGCAGGATACCCTCCAGCATTAGCAGCCGAGTGGCTTACAGGGTCTTGGTGCTCCGGCCAGGAGTCAGGCCTGAGCCCCTGAGGTGGGAGAGCCGAGTTCAGGACATTGGTCCACCAGAGACCTCCCGGCTCCATGAAATATCGAACAGCAAAAGCTCTCCCAGAGATCTCCATCGCAACACTAAGACCCAGCTCCACTCAACAACCAGCAAGATACTGTGCTGGACACTCCATTCCAAACAACTAGCAAGACAGGAACACAACCCCACCCATTAGCAGAGAGGATGCCTAAAATCATACTAAGTTCACAGACACCCTAAAACACACCACCGGATGCGGTCCTGCCCACCAGAAAAACAAGATCCAGCATTATCCACCAAAACACAGTCACTAGTCGCCTCCACCAGGAAGCCTACACAACCCACTGAACCAAACTTACCCACTGGGGGGAGACACCAAAAACAATGCGAACTACGAACCTGCAGCCTGTGAAAAGGAGACTCTAAACACAATAAATTAAGCAAAATGAGAAGACAGAGAAATACACAGCAGATGAAGGAGCAAGGTAAAAACCCACCGCATCAAACAAATGAAGAGGAAATAGGCAGTCTACCTGAAAAAGAATTCAGAGTAATAATAGTAAAGATGATACAAAATCGTGGAAATAGAATGGAGAAAATACAAGAAACGTTTAACAAGGACCTAGAAGAACTAAAGACTAAACAAACAATGATGAACAACACAATAAATGAAATTAAAAATTCTCTGTAAGGAACCAATAGCAGAATAACTGAGGCAGAAGAACGGATAAGTGACCTGGAAGGTAAAATAGTGGAGATAACTACCACAGAGCAGAAAAAAGAAAAAAGAATGAAAAGAATTGAGGACAGTCTCAGAGACCTCTGAGACAACATTAAACACACCAACATGAGAATTGTAGGGGTCCCAGAAGGAGAAGAAAAAAAGAAAGGGACTGAGAAAATATTTGAAGAGATTATTTCCTATATTCCTTCCCTAATATAGGAAAGGAAATAGTCAGTCAAGTCCAGAAGGGCAGAGAGTCCTATACAGGATAAATCCAAGGAGAAACATGCCAAGACACATATTAATCAAACTATCAAAAATTAAATACAAAGAAAAAATATTAAAAGCAGCAAGGGAAAAACAACAAATAAAATACAAGGGAATCCCTATAAGTTTAACAGGTAATCTTTCAGCAGAAACTCTGCAAGCCAGAAGGGAGTGGAAGGGCATATTTAAAGTGATGAAAGGGAAAAACCTACAACCAAGATTACCCAGCAAGGATGTCATTCAGGTTCCACGGAGAAATTAAAACTTCTACAGACAAGCAAAAGCTAAGAGAATTCAGCACCACCAAACCAGCTTTACAACAAATACTAAAGGAACTTCTTTAGGCAGGAAACACAAGAGAAGGAAAAGACTTACAATAACAAACCCCAAACAATTAAGAAAATGGTAATAGGAACATACATATTGATAACTACC